GGGGGGGGACAGCTGGTGAGGATAGGCCGTCTCATTTCGGAGACCGCTCGGTCCAGCCTTCGTGGTCCTCAAAGCACACGGCCGACGTGGACCGCGAAGGCTGGGTCCCCCGCAGGATGCAGTTGCTGGATTGGGACACAGGCAGTGTTTACAGTGGAAGCAGATACCGAGAGCCAAGTCAAACCGACCAATAGAAACTCCTGGCACATTCAGCAGCGTATGCCCCGCCCACTACATCCAAACTCAACTCAGCTTTTCGTTTTGAAACCAAAGCTTTTTCTTTCAACCAAAGATTTTTTTTTTTTTTAACCAAAAATTCTAGTTTCATTAGCAAAACTAACAAATTATTCTCAGTTTATATATTTTCACTTACAAACTTGATTTTTGATTGCAGTGCGAGAAATTTGCTTTTAAAACTTTTTTTTGTTTGCGTAATAAAGACAAATATAGGTACCTTCATAAGTGCGCCCAATTTATCAGCAAAATGCGCAGTCGGGAACACAGCGGTGGAGACTTTTATAGCCTCACACATATATCTGTGATCACACGTCAACAATGGCAAAGTATTTGCAACAACTAAATAATATTTTATTGGACTCATTAAGTGAAATTGGACATTTTCCCACGGCACTCCTGACGAGCTCTCACGGCACACTGGTGTGCGATGATGCATCTCCTCCAATATATAATATAATGCAGTATAAATATACTTAGAATGTGTATATTCTGCTCATAGCACTGTATAATTACAGTCATAAGCACTCCGAAATATTTCTAACGCATTATAATAAATAATCACACACATTATAAAGGATTTTATGAGTACAAGAAAACAGTTATTATATGAAACCAATACCTCTAGAGTCATCAGGTAATGTTTCATGTAAAGCTTAGGAATAAGGAAAGAAAGATATGTTTTACATATCTACGTTACTTATTTAGGCTCCTGTTGTCAGCTTGACTGCCATACACACAAAGCTGCTTTTATGTGCTGCTCCTGTCAGCCAGGTCTGCCACTTACAGTCTCACCAGAGACCAGAGGCACAGCGAGAAGGCTGAGGAATTACAAGAGCTGCATTTTTTTTTTTTTTTTTAACTTTCTGACAGGTTGATGGTGTAAAAATACAACACAAACTAATTACAATATTCTTCTCTGCATCATTGCGTGCATTTTGTCAAACTATGTTAAATGGTCCAAACATTGGACATACAGTAGCTCTGGTGACTGTGAATAATGTGACGTGGCATCACCATCTGTCCACTCCTCTCTTCTATGCATGTGGTCTGCCATTAGGCTGTGAGCTCCTGCTGGCCCGCATAATGCCCAAAATAGAGATGTGCCATCAGATGACTTCAAACCCAGCACAACTCCCACAACTAATCTGATGCTGAGGTGAGACAAATTACATTTTACAGTTGACTTTGCAGCATTGTTTTTATTTAAAAGTTGACTGCAATTGTACCACCGTGGTTCTCAAGAGCAACATTCCAGCTAAAAGAGGCAGAAAAGCTTCTCTGTATTTACAGATCGGTGTGAGGGTCATCTATTGGTGAGCTGGGTTAAAGAAATGAATACATTATCAGTGACTGTACAAAATCTGTTATTCAGTTTTTGTTCCAATTAACGATATAAGGCTGCTTCCACATTTTTCATTTGTAGTTCTTTTACCTTTCATTATTTTATTATGTTGAACCTTTAATGTTTTAGAGGTCAGGTTCTCCATACGATATTCAGAGCGTTAATACAGCAGCAAACAACTATTATCAGCATCTTTAAAGTGGAATTTTGCAGGTGGGGGAACCAAACCACACTTGCACATCTCGTGGAACATATGCTTCCATTTAATTAAATGAATCACCAGAGGGGGGGGGGGCCAGGCTTAATATTAGAGGGCACTGCTCCCCACCTCCCCCCTAGAACCACCATTACTCTCACACATTTTTTACACTTCAAGTCTATTTTTGTCACGTTTAGTGAAGCGTAATCTGTCTAGACAGCTGTTTAAATAACACACACTGCTATTTATATGTTTTGAACTCATTAACCATATCTACATTCATTGATCAATGCTACCAGTCTGTCTGTGAGCTCACCTGTCTCACTGCTGGCAGTTTACCCTACAGTGGGAAGGCAAATAAAATCAATGAATAAATACATGTTACTGTTGAGTTCTTGATTTTTGCAGCAGGGGAAATAACCGTGGGGTGACGTTACTTTCCGATTTGTTCAGTGAGTATCGCTATGCATGGCAGATGGATTC